TTGTACATGCGCCAACAGTTGTACACGGAAGCAGCTCCGGGAGCATGACGTATGAGGTCGGCGTTGCGCATGCGCCGGTGAGTCTCGTGAAAACCAACGTTTGTTTACAGGATCAAAGGAAGCAAAGTTTCCTTACTTTAGCAAAGGAAAACCAGTCTCCTCTTGGCTTATATCGAAATCCTCCGACATTCTTATTTACAAATCCTCGTTTTGTACTTCTAATAAGTGACCGTTGTTTTGTTTTGATCTCTCCCCTGCGCTTCCGCGTTCGTCACTTCTGAGCGGCGCATGCACAAAGCCGACCTCATATGTCATTCCCCCGGAACTGCTTCCGTTTACAACAGTGAGCACAGGCTAGAATAGAGGGATTATTACGTTTTGAATATGGATATTTTTCTTACAAAAACGCATCGATTCGCTACAGGAGGCCTTTGTTCACCCCCCGGAGCCGTGTGAGACGTTTTTTTTTTTAATGGATGGGCGCTTTTTATTTAACTTCTTTTGGACTGATGCATGCAACACCCGCTGAGTGCCATGAAACAGCTTGAAAGATCAAAGACAATTTTTAATATAACTCCGACTGGATTCGTCTGAAAGAAGAAAGTCATATACACCTAGGATGGCTCTGGGGTGAGTAAAACACAGCCTAATTTTCATTTTTGGGTGAACTAACCCTTTAAGCTTTCAAGACAATTAAATTCAGTTGCAAGTGTAAAATTATTAGAAATGCAATAAAATAACTCGTTGAATTCGATATTTTATGAAGCTCTAAGGATTTGTATGTCTCTAAAGTCATAGACATAAAAAACATAGAAAAATGAATGTGTGCTAGAAACTCACTTTGTGTACAAAAAGCTGCAAATACACAAAACCATGTTCACTTTTCCAGAAACATTCTGGACTAGATTCAAAACTGAGGGTTAAAGGACAGAGATCAATCATTGTACACCATCTACACAACTTTTATTGAGCAAGAAAATAGACAAAGCAATAGCATGATCCAGTAAAGTTATGAATAGAAAATCAGTCTGGAAAAGAGGAAGAGATACAGAGAGAAAATAAACCACTGGAAGCTAATACAAACAAACGTCATGACGACAGTGCATCTAATTAAAACCACATCCACCTTCAGAATAACAAGCCAAAACGCCACACTATTTCCGGGTTTGAAACGGCACATCACAGGTGAGGGGTGTTTATGTACACATGCATAGGAATACTGCGGCTGGTGACGGGCTCAGGGAAGGAACGGGAATCAAGTACAGTGGATAGGCACTTCATTTTCCATGACTTATCCGAAACACAAGTGCGAGACACTTTAATCTCACGTACAGGAAGATGGTTACGGAAATGAATGTGATTTAACACCCCCATATTGAATCCCTGCTGGAATCTATTTCTCATCTTCTAATTTGAATTCTCTGCCAATCAAAAAGAGCAAAAAGAGCTCAGTCTCCGACAGGAAATGGAAATAATAAAAAAATAATAATCTTTGTACCCTGGAAGTATATAGTGGAGAGAAAAAAAATCACATGAAGCACATATGAGTGTAATTGCGGGCCATTTGCTCAAAGTTATTTTTTTTCCCCCTTTAATAATACATGTTTTTAGCTTGGTGGAAGTGACATGCAAGTGCTTTCAGTGAAGGAAGAAAGATGATAACCCAACAAAGCTGAAAATATCCAGGTACAAATAAATCAATGATGGAAAAACGGAAAACGGAAAGCTTTTAAAAAGGACAAATTCATCAATTAAATTACTGCAATTAAAGGGAAAGACTGTTTAGCACTAAAACTGATCATTCAAACATATGCTGCATGCTATATCATGAAACGAAATCTAAAAGAGCAATTGAGGTGAAGATGAAATGAAAACCGATTTTCTTAGTCTTAGGGTTTAGTCTAGTTTTTTTTGCAGTCAAAATCCAGACATTTTAAAAGGGAATTTTGCATGTGGGAGAAAGATTTCCCCATGCAGATTTCACAATGGGTTCAAGTTGATCACACAGATTTGTTGCGATGACCAACAGAAAGATATTTGGTTTGAAAGTGAGCTGCACTTCATGCATCGCTACACTATTGACAATAGACAATGGATCAATTTTTGCATGCAAAATTTTGCTGATATTTCGCTACTGCGACTTTATTGTGCATGATTCATCTGCATGTTATTCCAACAAAAATGGGGAAAAAAATAAACTATTTATAATCTTCCATCAAAAGCCTCTGAAACAATTTTCAGAGGTGGCAACCAACAGCAACTCCTTAGCAACTTTTGCACAAGGAAATCACTCACGTTCCAGTAGAAAACATGAAAACTAGTTGCAATTCCATTTGGTGTCGCATGTGGCACATAAATTACACACTTCACCCTTAAGAATATGCAACTGATTCATCAAAAACACACAGATGTGTTGCCTTGAACTGAAGCCAGAACTGAGAGACAATCTGTCTCATTTCTAATAGCGCTGCAAATTGTGTGAATCCACTCAAGAACCGAAGAGTGCGGTAACCTGATTGAAGAGCTCTCAGGAATATTACCGGACACTCTTTAGGTCAAACAAAGAGCTTGCCATGTGTGACGCATTACAGTGTCTTATACAAGGGTAATGTTAAAGTCCAAATTTATCTGACTTGGCTTTAATCAACAGTATTTAAATGGAACCGGAGGGTGAGGTGAAAATCCAAGGTTTTTAGATATGATATAAACCTTTCAAGACAGACTTTTCAGTTCAGCCTATTATTATTTAACACCTTTTACCTCAAAATACCAGTGGAGAAAATGAATGAGAAAAATACATGTCCAAATCGGGGGAAAAAAACGTGCAGTCACTGTTACGCTCTGTTGTAAAAATTAGTATCAATACAAAGTAGTGGTAGTGATGTGGATCCAATACAGGGGATGACGTGAAGAAAAGATGTGAGCTTATATCTTACATGTTCACCATTTGACTTAATAACAATAGAAATGAAAACATGAGGGCTTGGACACTTTGCCATGCAACTGCTCCCATTGGAAAACATCTACAAACACATCTACTATAAACATGCCAAAACTCTGTGCACATATTTAATAGAAGAATAATCATCTGAACACTTTCTGAACATAAACGCTGTATGAAGAAACTCCATATTTCCTGGGGGACATCCCACATCTTATTTAACAATTTTATACTTCACTAAACAATACCCACAATGCACCTTAAACTGTTGCAAATAAAAAATGTAATCTATTAAAGTGCACACATACGAAAATGCACTATGTTCCCTAACCTGAGATTGAAGCTAAAATGGCACTAGTGGGCACCGTAAATGTCCTTTAGAAACATAAACACTTACGTTTTTGTTCTGAAGAAACTTCTTTGCAAGCATTATGTATATTAGCATAGCCTCTATATAACAGTTTAACCTGTGCAACTTTTGGTTACTAGTATATCCCTTACAAAAACAGTACCATGGTAAAGCAATAAGTATCATGGCAATTCAAAGAATACTATGATACATTCAGGTTACATGTCCAAAAACTTGGGCCATATGAAAAATAATGGTATAGAGACTGCCATGTAAATATGGTACTTCAAAGAATGGTATGGTATTAGCATGGTACTTGTCCAAAAGCAAGGTATTTCCACAGTACATGCCCAAAAACGATGATGGTAAAGCAATGGTATCAGATCAGGTATTGTAATACTACAATACTTTGATATATACTATGGTACTGCATGATTACCATATTCATATAAATAACCATGGTAAATATCAAAACTATGGGATTACCACAGTACATACCCAAGAACCCATGCCAATCCAAGTTACTGCAAAAAATACCATGGCATTATCACAAGCATGTCCAAAAAATGTGGTAATACCATGGTAATTTTTGGCACTTTTTGTTTCCTGTAGTATTTTGAACATTATATAGGGAATAGGGAGTGATTTCAGGTGCAGCTACACAGAAGCAGATTTAAAAGAGCCTTCTATTTACAGAAATCCCATTGTCTTGACATTCACGATGATGTCATATGTTCTGTCCAATCACGAATCAGTCCCTCTCTGAAGTTCCGTGTCACTCAAAGTGAGCAGCTTGTCACTCAATAAGGCTGAAGGGTATTTTTAACCGCACAGATTCAGTGTTCAACAAAAAGAGAGAAAAAAGTCCAGTTTTACAGTAAGACTGAGAGAACTGCCACAGTCTGAAACCCTAAAGAGTGGAATTAGAGAGGCATAAGGTGAAACTGTTATTATAGCAATACGGGGGGAAAATATATATTTGTCACTCTCGTCATTTTTAAGGCTCAAACGGCTGATGAAGCATGCATTTGCATCTGGCCTTAAGTGACTTCAACATGTCAGTCTACAAGAATGTGCTGTTGTTGTCGAGATACGTCATGTGGATGGGGAGCTGTTTTTATCTATTGGTCTCTCCAACAGTGAGACCCAGCAGGGTCTGGAATCAAGAAGACATTGGTCTCAACACAAACACGAATCTGGGAACTCATTCAATCGAAGCATGCCTGTACACTCATGGGCTGTATATACAGAAGATCTCACACATACAGCACATCCATACACTCTCACTGCTGGTAAACATGTTAGGAAGCTGCACACAGTTAGTTGGAGAGTTTTGCAACCAAAGGGACCAACCCCTTTGAGGACTCAAAATCAAAGCTGGGATATTTCCTTGTCTGGTTCTGTTAGTTGAAGACCGCATCGGTGTGTTTGCCCCACGGTGGGAGATGAAGTATAACCTCTAGATCCCAGAAAGCAACTCCTTCAAAGGTACCTCCCTCTCTCCCAGTAAGGTATCTCTCTTCAGACTGGTGCCCTTGTTGACTACCTTCATCTTGATGGCAAGGTTTTTCACCTGCGCAACAGGAAGGGAGTCAAAGTAGAAGTCCTCGTTGAAGACAGGGTTGCGGCTGTTCTTGATAATGGTGCTCCGCTGTTTCTGGAGCTTTCCCGGGTTCAGGAACAGAGCCACGCAACAATTGATGGCCTTCACATCGAACTGCTTATCGTAGAGGTCCTCGGCCGCCAGCACACGGACATGAAGTCTGGTGGCGTCAATGTCGTAGTCTGTGCAGATGCGTAGAGTTCCACCCTTGTGGAGGTTGACAGTGTGCTGTGTGAAGCGATCCATGTTGGCTCCGTATTTCCGTCCTCGAAATGCTGGAGAAGGAGGGCAACGAAAGCGCCTCTGAATGTTCGGGCTGGTCTCCACAGAGCTGCACTCGTCCGTGGAGAGAGAACTGTGCCGGGCGAAGGAGCGCTTGGCCCGGGACACTTTGGCTTGGGTTTCGTGGGTGAATATCTTGAGGAGGGATGCGGAACGGGACAACAGAGGCGAGTTGAACGGGGAGGACTCGGCCGAGGAGCAAGTGTCGCTTTCCCCCCCACTGAAGTACCGGTAGGGGTTGGAATGGGAGATGTTACAGTCGCTGGGGTTCAAGTGGTTGCCCTGCGACTTGCGTTGGGTGTTGGGCGAGGTGAGCGGACTTGTGGGGTCACTATGGAAGAGGGACTCTTTACGCCTCGTGTGAGGACTTTCCATGAGCGTGGCGAAACCGTAGGAGGTTTGTGCTTTGGGTACGTAGGGCAAGGACATGGCCGTTTGGGACTGGGGGTCGGCGTTTGTGTTGAGGTCGCCCACTTCCCCGATCACCAAGTCATCTGCACTCTCAATCTGGATAATGTGGCGGTTTGCAGCTTTGAGCAAGTTCTTGGTGTCTCCAGCCAGCTTGTTAATGAGGCGCGGGCTGCGCGGACTGCCCTGTGGCGTCTTGCAGCATATGGTCTGGTCGGACGTGGAAGAATGGAGCCCGTTTTTTGGCTTCATCTCCGGTGTCTCCTCCTCTGGGGGGCAGCACACCAATTTGGGTGGAATAAAGAAGTCAGGAATCTTGTCAGGGGTGAGGACGTTGCTGTAGGTGGGGGCTTTGCTCTGTTTGTCAGCCGAGCCTCCCTGTCGGAGAGCGTTTCCCTCCACTGAACCGCGGATCTTTTCCAGCAGCCACATCTCTCGGCGGGGTCTGGGAGAGACGTGCAATTGCACCCTGTGGGCACAGAGAGTGAGACGAAATATCATCAACCCACACTGACACCTGCGATTCATGAATGCAAATACAAACTGATACACCTCCTCGCTGCTTTAGGTACACTGTCACCCGGTGGATTCTTGGGAGATTCTGACACTATATGTTAACACATTGCTAACATTAAAAAGCAATTGTTAAAAACAGCTGACACCTGTCTCCCTTTCTGTTATCAATAGTACACTGTAACCTCGTGGAGATGCCGCTCAACATGCACTCAGCATCATTCTTTCATTCCACATTCAGTCCGCAAAGCTTATTTACATAAGATATATATGCAGAATGTACACAGATGGTTTCAAAAAGCATGAATGTGTGCATTTTATTAACTATAAGTGCAGGTACACTGTAAAAAAATAAAAATTACTTGATAAAAAATGACTTAAGGAGCTGTTCTCATCTTATTTATTTTGTAATTCAGTTTTATTCCGGCATCTTAAATTATATTTTTGACTTCAATAAAACCTGGTAGGTTTAGACATTACTGCTTTAAGTATGTTTTTATCTTACCTAAATATTTATATATTGATTTATGTTGTATTTCCCGCTCACAATGTCCAACCACACATTCAAGTATTTTACTACAGTCTTTAATGTTTATTACCAGGATTTTCAACCAGAGGTTTCTGGACACCTGGGGGTCCGTGCGGGTACTGGGTTTACAAGAAGAAGGATATATTAAACATGTATAATTGAAAGATTTAATGACATTTCTACACTGTAAAAAATGAATCTCCTTAGTGAGTTATTTCTTCCTGATCTGACCCTTAACAATCATTTTTACTGGTATAACCAAATGAAGTCAGTTGAATTAGTCATAAAATTTTTTAACTGATAAAACAATTAATTTTAATTCCATTTTTTTGTAAGTTACCTCAAAGACTGAACATTAGCTAATGGCTTCAAAAGCAATTTACAAATAAATTTTTGTTAATCATTTGAATGAAAGTTATTATAAAGTGTTATAAAATTTGACTTCTTGTTTTTTTTTTTTTTATTGGTGCGAGTCCCTCAGTCTATAAGCATTGAAAACCCTCTCTATTAGGTCATTTCTTGATGCATGAACCTTTTCCCAGTGAAAGAGTCCTCTGCGCAACAGCTGCACTTCAGGTCAGTGTTTAATGTGTGGAGACTGCAGCACTCTGTGATGTGAAATACGGACTGCGCAGCTTTTGTTCTGTGACTGCAGAAGCACAACAGTGAGACGAAGCTGCAAAGGGCGACTTTATTTGTTCAAAAGTAAATCATATGCAGAATATAAGGCGCTGTCTTATTTTAACAAACATCTGCATTGTCTAAACTGGTGTACTTGAGAGACTTTGCATGCAGATGTGAACTGACAATGATTGATGATATCTCATATATCATGGTAAAATCAATTTCTACTAAAATATCACAGTGTAGGAACCAAGGTACTTCCAAGAATACCATGGTGGCCCCACTATAGTTCTTTTTTCTAAGTGTTAATTACAAAGTAGCCTAAGGCACTGCGTGGAACTGGTATATTTTAAAGAGAGAAAAATGTTCAACAGATTGAATTTTATATTGAATTAAAACTCAACGAAGATAAATACTATTCTTTTCTCTGTAAATAAAGACAAATAAAAGCTTTTTTTGACAACAGATCATTTCAACCACCTGTAACACGGTAAAACTGATGCGACTGCAGTTCCACATTCCACAACACATTTCCAATGAGCAATAGTAAAAATACTATTAAATAAAGAAAAAAACGCATGCATTTAAACTTTTCCAAAGCTGTTCTTGCATTCAAAACCGGTTGAATCTCAGTTGAACTTACGTTAAGTGGTTTGTGGTCAGGATGTGAAGTAAGTGCTTCAATCCATATGTCGTTCGGGTCTCCGGTATTCCAGCACAGAACTGTCTGTTGGCACTGCGCGTCTACTCGCGGCTTTAATAGCGCACCGACCCCCGTGCGCGCGTATCAGCCAGTGGGAGTGTTATAGTGTAGCCAGTTACTCGCAGTCCGTATCAACGTATGGATTCAGAATAGAATACTATACTGCTTATTGCACTGTATATATTCTATACTGCCTACTACTTACAAAAAATACATATGGACAATGTTAGGAACAGAACAGAATGCTCACTAAAAACTAGCTAGATTACGCATACTATTTAAAAATATGCAATAAGTAAATATTTGGAATGGAATACTGCACTGCATTGCATAGGACTTAAAAATAGTCTGTGAATACTGGCTGTGTTAAAGGAATAGTTCACACACAAAAATGAAAATTTGCTGTAAATGTACTTATCTTCAGGCCATCCAAGATGCAGATGAGTTTGTTTCTTCATTGGAACAGATTTGGAGCAATGTATCGTACATCCGTCAGAATGAGAGTCCAATCAGCTGATAAAAACACCACAATAATCCACAAGTAATCCACACCACTCCAGTCCATCTGTTAACGTCTTGTGATGAGAAAAGCTGCATGTTTGTAAGAAACAAATCCATCAAGACATTTTTAATTTCAAAGCATTGTTTCCAGCTAAAATACGAGTCGTCTATTCATAATATTGCTTTCTCCAGTGAAAAAGAATTAGGACAGAAATATGCACAGATCAGTTCTAGTAAATACACTGCATACTTCACAGCATAGTATGCATGATACAGCAGAAAATAGCATGAGTGGTATTGCAGTATGCCATTCTGAACATAATCAAAAATGGGCAGCGTGTCATTTCTCATGCAGGAAAACCACTTCTCTCCATCAGGAAAATCATGAAGCATGGATAATATGAGCGGGCTGCGATGGGCAGGGTTCAAAACGCCTAATCAATTAAACCTTTTTTTGTATATTATTCACAACTGGTAGAATCTTATAGCTGGCCAGTTAGAGAGAAACATTTTGAATGAAATAGTGCTCTAAGATAATGTATAATTGTGTTTGATTTGCTGTTCTCTGATCTGCCCGTCTGTTTCCCTGGAAACTTGGAGAGAGGACTATGGAAACGCACATCCATATTGTTCATGCAAAAGCAGAAAACTTTTCCAAAAGGCACCTAATTTGAGAAAATGCATGTAAAAGTCACAGCAGACATCCAGTTCTCCAGATTTAAATATAGCCGTTTCAGGTCTGTGCACGCAAAAGAACAGCCAGCTCACATGTCAAGAAAGAAGCAAAGGAACATTATGACAAATTTAAAATCCTGCATTATTTTAGGTCACAAATTTGTATAAATGATCGTGTGAACATCTTTAACAAACAGTGAAATATACAGCTTCCACTGAAACACAAAATGTAATTCATGAAACATGTATTTAATTGTAAACACAAAGAGGAGCTTTAACTGACTCAACTAAATACATACATTTTAGCCAAAATCTTCCCTTTATGAAAAAAACCTCCACAACTGAAATAATAGAGGCCTATACAGGAATAGTTGATCCAAAATGAATATAATATTTTAATGTTGTTTCTTCATGGGAACAGATTTGGAGAAATGTAGCATTCCATCACTTGCTCACCAATGGATCCTCTGTAGTGAATGGGTGCCGTCAGAATGAGAGTCCAAACAGCTGATAACAACATCACAATAATCTACATGGCTCCAATCAAATGCCATCTTGTGAAGCCAAAAGTTGCATGTCTGTAATAAACAAATTCATCAAGACATTTTAAAACTTAAAACCTTGCTTGCAGATAAAATAGGAGTCCTCTTATCCATAATATTGCTCTTTCCACTTATATTGTGTGAATCAGGAGAGAAATACACACAGATCAAGTACAGTTTACAAGCTAAAACAGTCTAAAACAGTTCTAAATAAAGATGTGGGTGGATTTTGACGTGAAAGAACAACAGAAGATGGACTTTTTTTAACTGGAGAAAGCATTATTATGGATTATGGACTTGCAATATGGCCAGAAATGACTATTTACAGTTAAAACACCTTAATAATGAATTTGTTTCTAACAAACACAAATCTTTTCACTTCACAAGACCTTACTTGATGGACTGGAGTGGTGTGGATTACTTGTGGATTATTGTGATGTTTTTAGCAGCTGTTTGGACTCTCATTCTGACGGCACCCATTCACTGCAGAGGATCCATTGGTGAGCAAGTGATGCAATGCTACATTTCTCCAAATCTGTCTGATGAAGAAACAAATACACCTACATCTTGGATGGCCTGATGGTGAGTACATTTTCATTTTTGTGTGAACTATTCCTTTAATTGTTCACTAAAATCACTACAACACAACCAAAACCTCAGTAAATGAAATTCAGAACCATGTGAGCAATTAATGCATGCATCTATTTAAATGATCTGGAGTAGAAAAATGTGTGTTTCTCCTTTTTAATGCAAAAGACAAATTGTGTTCAACTTCGCATCCCCAGGTACGCTGTTTTATTAACCTTCCTCCATCTCTCTCTCTTTCGGTCTCTCATCTGCTGTCTGGGCATAACATTAAAATGCAATTAACTAATTGCCTGGAGAGGTGAGGAGCATTATGGCTATGAAAGTACCACGATGATCACATTCACTCTGATTTCCCAGGATGCATAATGGGCTGAGCTACTGTCACGCAAGTTTGCTTTTATTTCTAATCCATCATCTAAAAAGTCTTCATCATGTGCATACAAATGCACAGATGATCTTGCAAAATCCGGTTGGTGGTTTTGCCCACAGTATCTCTCTACGAAACAATGAGGGGGTTTAGATATTAATTATAGACTGTACTTTTATCTGCAGAAAGTATTATGCACATCTGAGATAATGTCATCCACTTTAACTGTAGCATAACAAAAGCTGGTGTCCAACTGCGGCCCATTCAGCACTGATGACAGTGTTTACAGATCTAAAGTCTATCATCACAGAGAGGGTAATGGCTTCAGACCAATTCAGAAACATCCAAATATGGACACATCAAGTTTTTACACTTTTTTGTGCATCAAGAGTTTATGGAGTTTTTTTGCAGCCACTTTGCAATTATATCACTGTAGAAAAAACAACATTTAAAGGCTTAGTTCAGCCAAAAATGAAAATTCTGTCATCATTTACTCACTCTAAACCTGTATGACTTTCTTTCTGAACAGCATTGAACCTTTCAGTGAATGGACAAAAAACATTTTCTTAAATAATGACAAATTAAACAATCATTTGTTGTTTATGTTAGTTGACAGTGCATTATGTTAACAAACAGAACTTTTGATTTTTAAAGCGTGTTAGTAAATAGTAAAATTAAGATTGGCTAGGATTACTAAAAATGCTGTTGAAGTAGTGTTCATTGTTAGTTCATGCAAACTAATGTTAGCAAATTCAATCTTATTGTAAAACATGAGATTTTTGACATTATAAAACAAATAACCAAAGCCACCAAAAGACTCAGACCACTGGGCTCAAACAACTACATCCTATATTGGTTCTTCATTGGTTATTTGCAGCACTTTAGGTTCATTAAAGTGCCTTCTTCTCATCAAGAACCATTTTTAAAAACATATTTTTGTTGTTACATCATAGGTTCTTCAAATCAGGATTCCTGTGGCTCATACAGTATAGCATGTAAAGCATGACATTATCAACGGAAAGGTCATGGGCTTGATTCCCATTCATGAACTGATAAAATGTAAACCTTAAGTGCAATGCAAGTCATTTTGGATAACTGGATCTGCCAAATGCATAAATGTATATGGTTCTACAGTATATGTACAGATAATGTATATAGATTTTTTTTTATTATTATGAACTTAAAGGAAACTTCCAGGTTCAATGCCAGTTATATTAACAGCATCTGCGGAATGGTTGAAAATAATTTAAATTAATTTCTCAGCTTGTAAAAATTAACAAACATGCATTGTAAGTGTCCCATAGACATCCAATGTATATGCAATAAATTTTTTTTTGCATGCAATAGTCTTTAACTTTAAAGGAATGACCCCTGCATGCAAAAAAAAAAAAAAAAAGCGAATGATGCGATTTCAACTTTTCCTTTCTCTTTGGAGTGTTACAAGCTCTTGGTGCATAAAGAAGATCTGTAAAGTTGCAAAGACTAAAGTCTCAAATCCAAAGAGATATTCTTTATAAAAGTTAAGAGTCAACCATGCCTACCTAAAACAGCTCGTTCTAACACGCCCCCACATGTCTATGTCACGATGTGGGAAGATTTGCATAATGCCGCCCAAATGTTCACGCAAAGAAAGAAGGCTTAACTTTTATTCTAGCTGTAGTATTGTTGCCGCCGCCATGTCGTGAAGGTACTGTGTTTCGTTGTGAAAGCGAAACTAGTTTGTTTGGTCTTCCAAAAGAGGACGATATCCGCTTC